AAATACTTGGAGTTTGAATGGACTTACAGTTATATTGAAAAATTACAAAGTTTTGTTCAAACGATTAACTCACGCGTTAACAGAGTAACAAAATTGGCTCCAAACAAGGTCACAAGAAAACATGTACCTGCTTTAGTTTCATTAATTGCAAACAGTTCGTCGAAGTTGGTACAGAAACCAAAATTTTATGTTGGTGTCTATGTGCGAATAGCGAAGACTGACTTGCCTTTTAGAAAAGGTTACAAGCAGATTTTTACAGACGAAGTTTTTGAAATAGTTGCCATTCCTACTGTAAACCCTCCAACATACAGTCTCATTGATGCGGAAAAGGAAGAAATCAGCGGAAAATTTTATGAAAAAGAACTTAGTTTAATTGGAAACAAAGCTGATTATAACGAAAAAGGGGCAGTGATGAGTTTACTGTACATTTGATTTCAACAGCATCAATGGATTATTTCCCAGACAACACTTTGGCCAGTTTTAGAAATTTTTGTAAAGAAGAAATAGCTTTAGACGGAGATTGGAGAGTTGCTCTCTCAGAAATAATTTTCCCCACAAAATTAAACAATGTTACTAATGAGGAATTTACGTACTTCAGAGCATCCGAAGTAGTAGCCAGTAAATCCAACGCTGGCAATCGGAATACAATTTCCAGAGCCTACTATGGCGAAAAAGTTTTTATCAAATCAGGAGAGTACACTTTTATAGAACAATTGATTAGTGAGATAAAAAGAAAACTCAAAGACAAAATTCATTTTGATGCGAGTCCTCAAGAAATCACGAATAGCATGAGCATTTGGATGAACGCAAATGAAGGAATCTCATTCCCAAGTCCTCAAATACCCAGTCTGTTAGGCTACAATGCAAAGCTTGATGAGAACGGTGAATATTACATTGGTTACAAAATGATACCCTCCTTCGATGCATCTTATGAGGGAAACGAACTGTACGAATCTCATTTCCCATATGACTTATCAAGTGGGACAAGTCTAATTTTTGTCTATATTGACATTATTCAATACCAAACTGTTGGTGATGCAAAGGCCCCATTGTTACGCGTCATTGATTCAAATAGACGCATCAAAAACGGTAGTGCCTGCAGCATTGAACCTAATCATCGAAAAAACTTCACTAATTTAGACTACAAAAAATTATTCACTTCATCTGTACAATCAATATCGGTACAGTTGCGCACAGAAACTGGAAGACTAGTGCCCTTTGCAGGAACTGGTAAAGTTGTGTTGACTCTAAAATTCAAGCGCTTTGATTGAAAACCAATGGAACAATATTATGCAAAACAAGCTTCACTTCCTCATTTCTCTGGACACTACCGACAACGCGGCAGTGGATTTGGCGCTTTGGCTGCTGGTATTGGTCGTGCTGCTATACCGACTGCACGACGGGTTATTCTACCGGCTGCGAAAAAACTGGGCAGAGAACTTTTGATGAGTGCAGCGCCAGAACTAATTGATGTCGCTATGAAAAAGAAGTCTCCTAAACAAGCATTGAAAAACTGCAAGAAAACAACTCGGTGGTGGTAGACGTCGTCGTCGAAAGACACCAATGAATGGATTACGAAGAAGAAAGTCAGTAGGGGCTCGAAAAAGAAAAACAACCATTCGAAGAAAAACCAGACCAGTGAGAAGTCGAGCAGATTTTTTCTCAAACATAAAAAATGATCGCTAATTTGTTATCCAATGAAGCTACCCATAGCTCTCTGGATTTGTTTGAAAAACAACCTCATTTGATTACTTTTGAAAACGCTTTTGATCAAAAAATTGGACCTGTCTATTCACCCAATGGACCAATGCTTGAGTTTGAAATCACCGGTGACCGTAATAATTTTGTTGACCTGCAAAAAATTTATTTGGAAATACGATGCAAAGTAACGCAATCAAATGGAGCTGATCTGCGATACGACAACACTGATCCTACTGTGTCTGATTCACCAATCCTCGTAAACAACTCCCTGTATTCTTTTTTCTCTGACTGTACCCTCTCTGCTAATGGACTCAAAATCTCAAATGCCAATAGTAATTTTGCGCATAAAAGCTTTTTTGGAACATAATTTTCTAACAGCAAAGGAGCCAAGGATTCATGGCTAAAGTGTCAGGGATATCGTTTTGAAAACAATCCCGCTGCAATAGATGCAGCTGATTTCACATCTCAACGAGAACTGGTCCATGAATCGAGAGAAATTTGGTTCTATGGACACGCTGGAGTTGATTTTTTCACATGTGACAAGCATTTGTTGAGCGGTGTTACCCTCAGACTTTCCTACAAAAGTTCTCATGAAGACTTTCTCATTATTTTTGAAGATGCTGCCAAGCATTACAAGCTGCAAATACTCGAATATGTTAGAAAAATGACTGTGACCGACCATGTGCTCTCTGCCATTGAATCAACTTTGCTCAAAACTCCTGCGAACTACCCATATCAAGAAGAAATTACAAAAACTTTTCTTGCAACAGCTGGTCAGCGCAGCTGGCAACAGGAAGACATTTTTGCTCGTGAAACGGTGAGACAAATTATAATAGCATTGAACACAAATAATGCATTTCTAGGAACAAACCGAACGAATACTTTTCATTATCAAAAGTTTGGATTGGAGCAAGTTACCTTGAGACGGAACGGTTTACCAATAGCAAGTACACCAATCAGTACACAAGATCATAAACGTCTCTTCTTCAACACACTATCAGCGCTAGGTTTGTTGCACTGTGGGCTGGGAATCACTCTGGATAACTAGCAACAGCATTTTATTATGTGTTTTGATCTCACTAGCACACAGCAGGCAGCTCATGACTTCTTGCATCCAGAACTTACTAACTGCTCAGTTTCACTCGATCTTCAATTCTCAAACGCGTTGACAGCAAACCTTGAAATTTTTGTTTGGGGTATACGCTCATCCAATGTATTTATTACCTCCGACCGCAAAGTTACAAAGAACGTCCTTCCAATTTCGACCGTCTAAAAATGGATGAAATCCAGTTGCAGGATCTCATTCAGAACTGTAAACATCTGAAATATAAGTTTCTTGGAGTCTCTGTATAAGTCTCTGTATAAACGATTGAACGAGAATTTTCATCAGGTGACTGAATTGATGACAAACTTTCCCATGCAAGACTCAAACTCTACCATGTGCGGTTCTTTTTGCATTTATATTGCACATTTGATTTATGATAAAAACTTTAATGGTGATGCTTCTGATTTTGCTTACATAAATGATCATGTTTTGAAACGTTTCCTAACTCACATGCTTACCCATTAACTAACTATTTAAAATGTCTGTTTTGTACACTTTTCAATTTCATTTTAAACACTACATTTTTTAGTAATTGACATTTTTACCCAGTTTTTAACTGAATAGCAGTAATTCGAGAAGTTAGATTACTATAAAAAATACAAAATCGATCTATGGGGGGATATCACCATTCCAGCAACTGTTGCCTCCTTTCAGTACAATTTCCGGACGGGTTTCGAAACGCCGCCTTTCGGCTGAGAGTCGAGCGCCATGCGTTTTCCTCTACTCGGACCCCAAGAAATTTTGTTCCACTTCAATTTTATAGTAACAAGTTAGGTACAAGTTTTGACAATATTTCTGGGCAATTTTGGCTTTTATCAGTGTTCTCGTTTTTCAAGATCTTAACCCGCTTCAACTTATTAGCTCTTTCAACCTTTCTATAAAATCCAAGCTTTTGTCATAGATTTCAGACGTTTTTTTTTCAGTCTCCTGTAGACACGGAAAATGGAAATGTCGAAATTTTCAAGCCAATTTCATTATTTTAGAGTTTTCAGTGTTCTATAATTTTTCCTTGTTTTTTACTTTCATTGGGCTTAAAGAAACTTTTCATTCTTATTTCGGTCAAATTGATCATTAGCTTTTGCCTAAATAGAGGTGGCGGCCGCCGCAATTGACGAATTTTCCTTTCTTCGAGATTCAGCAATAAAACATGCATTTTTGAAGGAAATCGTTCACCGCAGCCAACAGTTAAGCTACGCTGCCAAAATCTGGTGCTTTCCTATTACATATAATAGGTATATAAGGTCCTTTTACATGGAAACAAGCCAATACCCCCAAACTTTAGAAGGGAAAACATGCACCGACCAAAACTTAATTCCATTCCCGTTTCCACAACGTTCAGTGGGAATACTCACTAAGTATAAAAATTATACATTGGGATCATTAGGTATAAATATTTTACATAGGGATCATTAGGTATAAATATTTTACATAGGGATCATTAGGTATAAATACTTTCCATAGGGATCATTAGGTATAAATATTTACATTGGGATCATTAGGTATAAATTTTTACATAGGGATCATTAGGTATAATCTATTCCCATTGATCCCTGTAGGGATCAAACCCCCCCCCCCCCGATCCCAGTGTCGTATATCTGTACTACTCTCGTAATCAGATTTGAGATGCCAGTTTTTGAGAAAACTCAAAAAGTTTCAAATAAAAGTCAGAATATTGAAAATTTGACATTTCCGAGTGCCGAAACTTTTTGTGTAAAAAGTTTTGGGCGTAGCCGATCATGCAGGGGAGTTTTCCAGCATCCATTCTATCAAATGAACCCAAAATCTCAATTTTGGAAGGATTGTTTTCGAAAAAGTGGAAAAACTACAAACATGTTGGTCAATTATTACCCCCACAGAGTTTTTTGAAGGCTGTAGAAAAAAAGAAATATGTAGAAGCGGGTAGGAGAATATGCAAGCAAACGGGGGAGTGAGCGGCTTTTCCGTTGGTACCGCTTTTTCAAATATCTGTAGAGAATTTTTCGAGAAAAACTAAATTTTTTGAGAAAAGAACAAATTTTCCAAAAAAAACAAATCCCACATATTTTCCTAATAAATGTTTTTATCGAACAGAATATGATTTTTGATGTGGAAGTGGGAGCCAAAAAAAAAAGAAATGAGGCCAACTTTTTTCCCCAGAAGTGATCAAATCGAGGTTGTGGGTATGTGTGGAATAAGGAAAAAGCCATTCACTCACTTGTTAGTGGCGGGGGTGTCGGCAGTGGAGTGATTGGATTGGACGGTGGTGAAGATGGACTGGAGCAGAGCGTGTATGTTGGCGATTGAGTTTCTCAGTTGAGGAATGGCCGCACTGCTGGATGTGTTGTCGTCCAAAATGGCGTCCAGGGAAACCTGCGAAGCAATCATCAACTTAACTTTTGAGTCCAGGGTAGGCCAAACATAAGTTAAGAACACACCATATCATCCTTTTAATTCGAATCTAGAACATCGTCTCTCAATGTTTTGTTGATTTCTCACCAAGGATAATGCTAGAATTAGGGTGAGGGGAGAGGTTCGAACCACTAACCACCTACACAAACATCTACATTTAGTTGACAGACAGTTAAATTTTTTAAACGTCAGCTTATTCAAAAATTGAGGGGGCGCACACGCCGAAATAGGCAATATTTTGGTCAAAATTTTCCGAAAAACGCTCTAAAATGTCATGTTTGGGTTTTTATAGTTCTGCGGTGTAGAAAGTTATGTCGTTTTAGTGTTTTGGGAGAAGTGCGAAAATCAGTTTGGTCGACCTAAAAAATTATTGACCACATTGTTAAAACTGTCGTGAAAATCCGCTCCCCTGCTCCAAAAAATCTAGTCAGAGATGCCTTCCTGACCAAGGAACTTTAAGAAGGCGACGAGCAGTAATGCGTATAGAAAACAAAATACGAATTACTTCTGTCTAAATATAACTAAAGCCGAAAAACAAAAAAAAAAGATGATCACAAGACCATCAAAGGGGATGACTATTTTTTGAGGCTCAATTCAATTTTGTCCAGATTTTTTACTCAAGCACGGTGTAAAGAAGTAATCATGAAGGGACACTTCAAAACGTCTAGAACAGAAAAAAAGTTGGCCTATAAAAACGGAACGTTTTTTTTCAATAGTAGGAAACCATCATTTAAGGCCTTTGCAATACAAACATGATCTTAAGCCAAGCAACATTTTCACTTGAAAATTTCATTTGATGAGCTTAAAAATCGGAATTTTGTCATAAAAATTAGCTAGGATACTATATTACTTTTCGTAAATGGGTTTTAGTTGTTTGTTTTTTTTTCCAACACCTGTTAGGACTGGTTATGACTCAACCTCTCATTACCCGGGTTGACCAAAAATGTTAGTCATACAATTTTCATATATGGAAACATGCTAATCATACACTTTTCACGCATTTTCATAAGTACAGAAAATTGCATGAAAGGTCTATGATTAGTATTTTTTCTTATATGGAAATTGTATGACTAGCATTTTTCCATAAACCAAAAATTTTGATTTTATACATTGTGATTTCTCAAAATTTTTTGGTTGTGTTCGTAACCGAACACAAATGACATAAACCTTGGTTACTCAAACGTAGTAACCAAAGGCTTGGCCGTCTCGTATTAAAAATGCATTGGAAATAGCCTGAATTATTATCATTCTGTGTCACACAAATAATATAAAGAAAGTAACGAACTTTTAAGTTTTGTCAAAAGTTTTCAAAGATGACGATTTCTAAAATTTGACTTTTTAAATTACCAGAAATTGATAAGGCATAGAAAAACATGTCATACAAAACAAGAAGAATTTAAGCGTTTTTGAAAAAAAGTTATGAAGAGAAAAGGAAAAAAAATCCAATATTAGTATATCCAGGACTACGTTATACACACAAAAAATTAAATTTTGCATGCAAATATTTTTTTCAAAAAATGTTTGTTTGAGTACGAAAATCAATTTGCGGTTGAAAAACACAAAAAAAATTTGGGGGCAATTTCGAAAATACTTTGTCAAAAAAAATGCTAGTCATACATTTTCCATATATGGAAATTGTATGATTAGCATTTTTTGACAAAAGGTTTTTTTTTATGTAGTACGATACACCGAATTTTATGCCAAAACCAGAGAAAAGTTTTTTGAAAATTCGACGTCACCATTTTAGCAAAATGTATGAAATTTGTATGATTAGTATTTTTTCATAGACTTAGCTTATGGAATTGCATGATTAGCATTTTTGGTCTATGGAGGTCAACCCGGGTAGAAGTGCATCATTATTGTTGCTCATTTCCATACAATAAAAAGTCCAGCAAACACTACAAATATGCATATAGTTCTTAAAGAGGAACACATCAGTGGGTCTCCGTAAAGGAGCACAATAGCTCTTACATCGTTCCTTTTCCCTATTACAATTTCAGGGATAATAATCAATTCGTAATTAAATGAATTATTTTCGACTTTAATGGTTATGATATATTTTTTTTCGAAAAGAATGGATTATATACGATTGAAAGACTCCTCGTGTTTGGGCAAAACCTTGAAAATTCCGACTGCTTTTCAATTGGTCTCAAATAGTTATAGTAAGCTAAATAACGACAAACGATTACGTCTCAAATGGCATAATTCCCAAATGGCACAAAAATGAAAAATTTCCCAAATGGCATAAGTTTGATGCAACAGGTGCATTAGGAAAATCTAGAACAATTTGTTCGTAAACAATAATGTGAGAAAATTAGTCAAGTTGCAATTCAAATGTTAATTGACATTTTATCCTAAAATTTTAAACTTTTTTATCAAAGCGAAAACCATAAGATTGCGGGCGGTTTTTGATAAGCTTCATGTGGTCAATTTTTCCCGCACATTTGCTGCTTAACATTTGTTTGAAAGCAATTAAGGCTCTTTTCCAGTTTCCCACCCCAACCCCCCGTAAACTATAAAATAGAAAATAGCAAAACAAAGCTTGTCAAAAATTGTTCACACGACAATTTGTATGTTATAAATGTTGTGAAATTTTATTCACCTTTTCACGCTGACACGTTTTAATGCAAATTTCAACATGAAAAGTAATTTAAAATGGATTTTTCCTTTAATGAATTTCAGAAAAAAACAAAAGGTGGTCTAGAAAAGAGCCGCAATTAATTCCAAATCTTGTTCACATGTTTTCAATCCTGACGAAATGTTAGAATTAGAAATCCATAGAAAACGTTTGAATTACAAAAAAAACTTGAAATGTATGCCAATTGGGAAAAGTTTAATTTTCATGCCATTTGGGAATTATGCCATTTGGGAAGTTACCATGACAAGTTATATGAAATTTAGTCTGAAAATGCCAGATTTCAAGTTTAAAAATTGAGTCGCCTATGGAATTATAAAGACCAATTAGAGATGGTGGTCAGTAACTAGACAACAGTGTACTCATACTCGTCAGCAAGTAGACAAATACTACTTTAACCATTCAAAACTGAGATAAAAAGCAAGCTTACGAAACAAAACTTTATTGTATTTTCATTACGTTCTTTTGCTTTCTTGGCTCCATTCCTCCATTCTGATTGGTTAATATAGTAATTGTCTACGTATGAATGCGCGGTTGTCTACTTTCTACTGGGGCGTTCAACAGTGCCGAAGTACAACAGAGCCGAAAAAGGCGGGAAAGTCTCAGAATAATTTAAACGCATTTTCTAAAGTGCGGGAAATTAGTGATAGAAAATCACACTAATTTCAGCGCCAAAATGATGTCTACAACTGCAAGTTTAACAATTATTTTGGCGCCAAAACTTCTAAATAGCAAATTTTTTTGCTCAAAATCTTTGAGTGTCACTTAAGATTGTAAACGTTCTCTGTTTAATTTTTGATTGCCGCACTTTTTATGTTGAAATTTGGTCATATTTTCAGCACTGTTAAACAAAGTTTTCATTTTCGGCACTATTGAACTATTTTTTTGGCACTCTTGTGATTCTGCACTGTGTTACTGCCCCTTTTCTACTACGTAATCACCAAATAGCTTGTCTCAGTTCCTTTTAGAAGGGATTTTGTTTCGCATTGCGTAAAAGGAGAAAATTCGCATTGCGTAAAAATTCGCCTTACACTTTCAGCATCAAAGTATAGCAGTACGGCTCGTTTCAAGGTTTATGGAGCACTAATAACAAAAAAAATTAAATGTAGTAGAAAATGAAAAAAAAATTCTAAAATTTGAAACTTTTTTATGAAATCATCCCCCCACACGCCATATAAAGTATAAAAGAATAGATTTCACTCAATGTAACCAATCAATTATGGCAAATAAGCTTCTTTCAACCAATTTGGAACAATTTCTAAGACGGATTATATCTCGCTTACGCGTTAATAGCGCCAAATACATCGCGCGTTAATTGTCCCAAATTGGCCAAAATGGCAATCTTTAAGCTCCCATAACTTCACAAAAAATGGTCACAGGTGAAATATCTTTTCAAATTTGAGCTTATCACAACAATACCTTTCGAATGATGTAAAAAATTCTGTCAAAAATGGCTAGTTAAAAAGGCAAAATTTGTCTGAAAAAAAAACCCACCCCCCGAGCACAAATATTCCGTTACTTTTGTATCGAAAGTCGGAACAAAAAGAGAATACTTTGATGGTGTCGTGTGAGGTTCAAGGTTCATAGAGAGGATTTTGTATCAAGCAGGGGCCTTCGTAGATCAAGAGATTGAATTACGAGAGAAACAAATTCTTTTCGAAATTTGCCTGAACAATAAAACACCCGAGCATATTTTTTCTTGTATCAGAAACTGCGAAGCTGCTTGTATCAGGGCGAAGCGTTGAATGTTCTCCGACTTCTCTTTTTTTGGTTTTTTCAGACTCAATTCTTTCCCCTTCGCGCTATGTAAAATTTTGGAATTTTTCAATTAGCCGCTTACGCTTAAACATCACGAAAATTATTATGCGTCAAACTAAATTGGTCAAATTGGCAAAAATACGAACCCCCATAAATTTTCGAAAAAACAAATGCTTTCGAAAACAGGAACAAAGTTGAGTACGAGCTCAAGACAACAGAAACCTTTAGATGATTTGAAAAATGTTTGTCAATAATGGCTAGTTGAAACGTCGAAAAATGGCTTAATGGCTTAATTCCCAAATGGCATAAAAATGAAAGATTTCCCAAATGGCATAAGTTTGATGCAACAGGTGCATTAGGAAAATATAGAACAGTTTGTTCGTGAACAATAATGTGAGAAAATTAGTCAAGTTGTTAATTCAAATGTTAATTGACATTTTATCTCAAAATTGTAGAATTTTTTTATCAAAGCAAAAATCATAAGATTGCGGTTTTTGATAAGCTTCATGTGGTCAATTTTTCCCGCAATTTTGATGCTTCACATTTGTTTGAAAGCAATTAAAGCTCTTTTCGATTTCCGCCCCCCCCCCCTTCAGCCCTTTCCTTTGGTTTTTTCTGAAACTCACATATAAAAAGTCCATTTGAATTGACTTTTCAAGTTAAAAACTGCATCAAAACGGGTCAGCATGACAGGTGAAAATCCATTACGTTATCTAAATTCACCGCGATTATAGAAAACCTAGACAACAATTTAGCCCATAAAACCTAGACCATTATAATCAAATTTTACCAAGTAAACTACGGCACGGTTTCCCTGGTTCGTTGATAAGTGGCTGTACTCACCTGAACATCATAGATATGGAAGAAACTTAGATTGTGGTGTATTTTCCCACGCAAAACCTGGTACGCCAAACAAACGCCAACTTGAGAGATACATGATCTTAAAAGACTTTCAAGCGTGGTTCAAGCTGCGTTGGAAAACGCCAAAAAATTTCATGTATTTCCAGAAACAATTGTCTGATTGGTTTCGCTTTTCAGACCAACTTTAGGTCAAATATAACAAAGAGCAGTTGATTTGGGTCCTTTTCTGCACAATTCCAATTAGGGAAAGAGACTAAGCTAGCTCAATCATGATAAATAGACCCTCCTTTTCTTTATAATTATCATATTCTCAAAATATGAAAAACAAAAAAATCAGTTTCTTCTTCATGCTTTGTTTTCTGAAGTCTATGAGTTGATTAGAGCAACCAAGGTCAATGCTGACTTTTTCGAAAAAAAATACGAATAAAACTTGAAATTTAAAACGAGTTTGTGTCTGTATGTTCCTGGATTCCAAAAAGTAATCACTAATCTTTAAACATGTTCCAAAATGTAAGTGGATTCCACTTACAAAACTTCCGTGGATTCCGCGTACAAATGAGTGTAACGTAAATTTTGTCGGCGCATTTGTTGTGTCGTGGATTCTTCAACAAGCGAATATAGCTAGTTGTTTTGGATTCCGCAACTGTCAGTGTATTCCGCAAAATGTAAGCGGAATCCGCAAATTTAAGTGGATTCCGCAACCTGTAAGTGGATTCCGAATTTTGTTCAATACTGAAACTGCATATGAACAATTAAAAGCTGAGCTGAAATTCTTATCTCTAGCAATGCGGAATTTAAAAGCAAAGACTTAACCATTGTCAGCTAAATCCACGAACACATCTTAAAACATTGTTTATCTAAATCGGTGGATGTCATCTTTTAGTATTTTGGAAACACAACACCGAATAATTTCAATATTTGTAGTCATTGAGTTGAGAGTGTATGGAAATACAACACACAGCAGATCGCCAAATTGGGTCAGTATTTGTGATTGCGTCAATCCCAAATACTAATTTTGGAAGCATAACGCCGAATAAAATCAGTAATCGTAGACATTGGGTTGAGAGCGTATGGAAACACAACATACAGCATATCGCCAAATTAGGTCAGTATTTGGTGTTCCATCGATCCCAAATACTGTTCAGTATTTGAGATTAATAAAATCCCAAAACTGGAATAATAGAGAATAAAATGAATAAATTTTGAGTCATTAGGTTGAGAGTGATTAGAAACCCAATGCATTGCAAATCGTCGAGTTAGTTCAAAATTTGGGATTTCATCGATCCCAATTACTGGTCAGTAATTGGGATTCCATTAATCCCAAACACTGATCTATTCTAGTAAATTTCTATTCTAGTAATCTAATCATCTAATCAAATTTCTAATCAAATCAAATCATTGAATTAAAAGATATAATTTTAAAGGCTACTACATAAATACATTTATGTAAACATAATCCGCAAACAAAATGCGGATTCCACTTACAATTTGCGGATTCCACTTACATTTTGCGGGTTCCGCTCACAGTTGCGGATTCCGCAACAGCTCAATTTAACTAGACACATGTCTTATTTTTTGATTGTTCAGTTTGTCTCCACAAGCTGTTTTGGATTCCGCAAATACGCTTGCGGATTCCGCAAATTCATCTATTTTAGGAGCGATTTTGTGCGGAACAGTGTTTTAAGTATTTGTTTGTGGAATCCATAGCAGCAAAGAAGATCAAAGAAAAGTAGCAATGATGTGGATTCCGCGACAAATCTGATTTTGGCCTGTTGCGGAATCCGCATACAATGAACAGAATGCACAGTTTGGCCTCGTTAAGAATTTTTTAAAATTTTTTAACGTTTTTTGTTTCGTTTTTTCTAACTAGTTTTATAGATCTTTTTTCACACCACACAGAAAAACGACACTCAATTGAATGTACTTTTTTGTATTCTTTTAAGACTATGGCCAGAACTTTCTGTGCTACTTTTACACTGACCGATTATCTTTGTTTAACTTTGGTTCAGTTATTATTGAAGAATAATGTCAAAGTAATTATTGTAACCTCCAAGTTGGAAATGGATGTTGTGACGAGGTCATTTATGGGCAGTTGATGCTGCTTGTTCTGCACCTGTTCATCCACCAGTTGAGCCAGCTGACAGAACGACTAAAATGAAAACAACGACACGCATACTTCAAACTCTTCTCATCAGTAACTTCTCTTAACAGACAGCGAATAGCGCATCACTGTTCCCGAGTCGAGATTTTTCACCTAATTTGAAGCAAGATTTGAGCGATTTGAGCGGTTTTTTTAAACAATTACGCTCAAATTTCAATGACATCATAGCACCGGAAGAGAAATTCAGTTGCAATAAGTTTGATCGTCCAAGCCTAGGTCGTCAAGATTTGAGAGCGTTCCCGCAGTGACAAAAATGGATTAAAATCGATACAGAAAAATCTACAGATTAACGTAAGTATAGAATCGATTTATCTACAACCATTTTGAGAACAATAACCGATGTTGTACAGATAAAATCCAATTTTTTCCATCAAAAATAAATGGATTTAGCGCCAAGTTATTAGATTTTCCTATAGTATAAAACCTGTATATAATCTGTAGATAATCTGCATAATCTTTATACAATAAAAGCTGTAGATAATCTGCATATCATCTGTAATTAATATGTAGATAATCTATATCAAATTGATTATATTGCCTAAAAGCTATACGGGTAGAAAAAATTCAATTTTGACCATTCAAAATTTGAGTTAACAATTTTTTTTGACAAATCCAACAAAATTTTTCAATCGGGAAAATTTTTTCTTTATGTTATATTGAGCTGAACTCACTTAAAAAGATTGGTTACCACAAACTACAAGTTTCAAGAGATCCATCAAAAGATTTTGCAATCTAAGGATTTCCGCGGTAAGAAAAGTATTTTGTGCAAAATTTCTTCGAATATCATTCAAAAGATCAACCTGTTCAGCGCATTTTTTGTGATAAAAACATTTAAAAAATTAGAGAATCAACATAGATCAATTTATTTTCTGCTGCAACTTATTTACACAATATAGTATTTAAGTTTTTTGTCAGATCAAACATCAGTACAAAAATTTAAATAAAAAGCCTACATTATAATTTTGTTTCAATATACTCGTTCTATCTGATTGGCGAGAACGTTGAGAAAATCAGTATACAATCTGCATATAAATTGCATAGAATCTGTATAAAATCTGTATATAATCTGTTTATAGTCTGTATATAATCTGTAAATAATCACTATATGTTCTGGAGATAATCTGTAGATAATCGGTCCCCCTTTTGCACATTTTATTAGACTTTTCGTCAAGTGAGCTTTGAAATAGAGTTTTTATCCCAGCCACCTGACGCCTTGCACTACTGTCATCGGGAGTATTATTATCACCATTTCTTCATAAGGGAAAAGGAGAAACATAAAAGCATGCGAGCTATACAGTTCATCAATGCCAACCGCTGCTGTGTCCCTGCTTAAGAACTACATGCAATTTTTTGGTCTTTTTTCTGTGCTGGGTAATGCTGCCGCACCCTCAAGCAACGAGCAAGGATCATTGAGAGGCGGAGACGTAGCCACTTCACCACCGCTCCCCATAGGGTAAGTAAAGGGATCGGTATTCCCTGTTTCCAGCAATTAACCAATCCACCCTAGCAAATTCCGAACCAGACTGCTTTTGCCAAGGCAAAGGCCTGAGAATTTCCACAACAATTTAAGGTCTATAGAGCAGTGATCGCTTTCACAAAAATGGATGACATTTTCAATAAAAAATGAAAAAAAAAAGTTTTATTTTATTTTTTTTTCGGGACCACCCCCTACACGCTATTTAAACTACAAGCTGATATTTTTGCACACAGCAAAAAATTAAACAGTACAAGTGGCTTGATTCATTTCAATTTGGAACGATTCCTAAGACTGATTAAATTCCGCTCACGCAATAGCAGCGCGAAATAAATCTCGCGTTAATTATTTCAAAAAACTGGCTAAATTAGCACTCTTGAAACCCTAATACTTTACAAAAAAAAATGTCACAGTTGAAATATCTTCCAAAATTTGAGTTCAAGACACCAATACTTTCCGCATGATGTAATGGATGAGTAAAAATCAAGTTTTGCATCGTGGAATTTTGTGAAGAAATTGAGACACGCAGTGTCAGGACGTGAAAAAAAATTCGAGATGCTGGGTTAGCTTTGGCTTATCTGGTATGAAATCCATATGAAAAATTGAACAAAACGCAAGCATTTGAAAAACAAAATCACGCTTACACGCAATTTTTTTCTCTATATACTTTAAGTTGATCCTTATAGGAAAGGGGATTGCACAAGTGTTTCAATTTTTTCTCTAGTGATTCAAATAATGCTTTAGTTTTTCAAATATTGCACTGGTACTTAAAATATTGCAGTTGTTTTTCAAACATGGCATAAACTTTTCAAATATGGCAGGAAACCAAACTGAACTGAACACGTGTGTTTGATATCAAAAGATTGTCAAAAATTGCCCGTAAAATTGCTTGTTCAAAGTCGAAAATTTACGGGAAAACACATTCCGTCATTTTCTTCGATGTTGGAAAATTTATGCAATGAATTTTTTGGCCTTTTTCCAGTTCCACCCTCTTTGATTTTTTGAAAATCAATTTAAAAATCTACTGAATATGGCTTTTTAAATGACGCAGAAGCATTGAAATGTGTCAACGTGAACAGGTGAACAGTTTTTCACTGCATTTTTCACATGCAAAATACGGTATGAAAGAGTTTTGAAAACTTTATTTTGTAGTTTTACAAGGAGACGAGAAACTGGAAAACCGTCAATTTTTTGGGTTCGCGAAGACATTGTGTTTCCATCTTTAGATTTTTAAGCCCACACCTTATTCGCAAACCGTTCCCAGCTTGGTGATATGTGACTACACCAAAAAAATTTAAGAAAAGCAGTAGAACATTATAATAGTATACCGTATATAAAAGAACAAGTAAAAAATGTTTTGTTATACATTTGAGCTGCGGACAACAATATTTTTCTGATTTTATACAAAATTTTGAAGCAAAAATACTTCATTATCTGATCGGAAGATGACTCAATCAAAAATCACCCCAAGCATAATCAAGGCTGCTCGTAAACTAAGGCAATGTTTAGAATGTTCTGACTGCTGTCTATTGTCAATCAGACGCTTTTAGCAAAAAAAATGCTCAAAAAAAGAAAATTAAAACTCTATGCTTCTGAATTTTGTCCCCCACAAGCAATGTAAAGTACCTATTGATATATTTTGCGTGGGGCAACATATTCGTAAGAACAAATTGCTTGCCTCAATTCACTTTGTTATGATTTGGTTTGCCGCTTAAGTTTGAAAAGAACGAACTATATTGTGCCTTAGTTATCCCAGTCTGGATTATAGTCGTCAAAGTAGTCCCAAAATAAAAACCATTGTATTTTTGTAAAAAAAAAAACAATCACAGAGACATTTTTTTCATTTTGAGCTCTATACCACGGTATTTTAAAGATGGTATAGAATCCTTTTTTTCAAATTTCTTAAATTAAAAAGCCAAAAACGATTGTATAAAAACCACACCGAGAGTAAATTTTCCGCATTTTGTCCCTTAAGTTTTCCGCAGAAATCAGAAGAGAAAAATTATACAAATTTGTAACGTATTTTGAGAGTTTCTAAATCATACTACATATGTTTTTGAGCCATATGTCATACAGCAATGGGACGAAGAACTTGCAGGTTTTCATTTGATATCTATAAAAGAAAAACTTTGAAATCAGAGGACGTTTTCAAGCTTGGTTGATGCACCCACTTAAACAATGGGAGAACAAACTGTATATAGGCTCACATTTTGGTGTCTGTAGTTCACTGGACCGCAGTCAAGTCTGTTAACATGTTCCAAAGTCTAAGATTCCTCTAAGGTTCCGCAAAGTTGCCTATTTGTCGAGCGATTTTGAGCGGTATAGTGTTTAAGCCATTCGTGAATACAAAACACCAAGGAAAATTGAAAAAAAAAAAACAGAAATATTTCGGATTTCCGAAAAAAAATCGTTTTCGGGTTGTTGCGGAATCCGCTTGCCATGCACGCGTACACAGTCTAGCCTCGTAATGCCAGATTTGAGAGGCTTTATTATTGAACTAAGAGACTATCGAACTTGATTTCATTCGTACTCATCCTACTCGGCAGTCTTTCTTTTAACCATTAACTTTTCAAGTACCGCAAAAAGCTGTGAAAATGACGGAAAATGAAAAAGTGACACATTTAAGTGACGGAATATTTGTGCTCGGGTTTTTTTTGCTCTCGACAGATTTCGACTTCTTAACTGGCCATTTTGACAGATATTTTTGATCACCCGAAAAATATTGTTGGCCTGAGCTCAATTTTAAGAAGGCATTCCTTCTGTGATCACTTTACGAATGATGGGGGTTTCAAACTGCCAATTTTGCTAAAATGGGACAAACAGTTGGCATTATATTGCAAGCTATTAAAGCGTAAGCGGCTGTTTAATACACTGATAAACCGCTGCAAGTTGATCTGAGACATGCTTTTTTGCTTTGTTAGATTTTTTGCTCCTGGTGAAATATATTTTTGCACTTTACATTTCATAAAATCTCGAAATTAAAAAATAAAATTAAAGTTCATGTCAGTTAGTTTAAAGCGAAATTTGATCAATTTGTTTCTCGTTTTAGTTCCACTGCCAGCAAAAGTGGGAAAAATAGGGGGAAAACAGCTTACTTTTTTACTGGAGGAGACTATGTGAAGAATGTCTGCAGTTAGCGACTCTGCAAAATGGGCGGAGTCGGCACACTGATTAACTGTCTCGGAGAACAACTTCTGTTCACTTCTCAGATCACGAAGCAGCTCGTGAATGAACTCAATGCAGTATTCTTTGCAGCCCAGTTGACCTTGAGATGGTGTAGATTGATAGGTTGAGAGGTGATTGATTGCCGATTGACATTTTTCCATAATGATTTGGGTGGCAACCGGAAGTTTTCTCATGTCGCCTTCTAATTCGCCTTCAATTTGCTGAAATAGACACTCCCTATAATAATTTCCATTCTCTAAAACTTGTCCAAGTAATTTGGCTGCAAACACAATTTTCGGACCGACGAAACACACGTTGTTTTCTAACGCATAAAGTGGTTTTGTGAGTTATTTCATGAGCATGAGTGACGCGACGCGATCCATCTTTTATTGAGGATTTCAACTGAAAGTGATGCAAGGCGGCTAGATTGAATTTGGAACAATTTGGAATTGGGAGCCGACAAAGTTAGGTGCTAACTAATGTTTTGTCTCAGTGGTCTGGTCTGTCTAGCTGGCAAACCTTCTGTTTGGAACTTTCCTCTTCCTTCCTATACAGAACTCTATAGTTCCTCTGTACATTTAACTCCATGTGATGCAATTGAGGGGACGGCGGCTGGTCGCGGCGGCTGGCCGATCTCTCACCCTGCCTACTGTCGGCGGCGGCTTGTGAGGCCAACACGCGTCGTCTAGAGGACGAAGATGTGAAAGTCGGTCGCTGGAAGCGATGTGTGTTGCCATTAGTGGCATCCTCTTTTTTGAACCCTGCTGACCCCTCTTGAATGTGTGACTTGTTATGGTCACGTGATACGGTGTCACGACAAGGCGACGAGTAATGCGTGTGAGTTGATTGAGTGTTGCATGGAACTACTTTGATATCGTCAGCACACAAGTTGGTCGCCGCTTTAGAGTTGTCACAGATGAGTCTCAACTCGCGGTCCAAGTACTTAAGAACGAGTTGAAAAGTAAAATAAAGATACTTGAGAAAACTTGGTGGAGAATTAAAATGGAAAAAATGACCGGGCAAGAACGCGGGCAAATACATTATAAAATAAGAATTGCTGTTCCTTCACACAAAAGTGAACAAATATCCTCTACCCTGTGGAGCTGTTCAATCTGAGGATTCTGTCTTCTAAAACCGACCGTTTTCAAATTGCGCATCTGTGCTATCTTTTCCCAAAACACAACACATAGCTCTTCCCAGTGTAGCCTAACAACCAATTTTTAGCTCAATCACACTCTAAATTTCGTATAATGGGGGTTGTTAGGTTAAAGAGTCATTTTACCTTCCTTTGCCTCATGAACTAATTAAAATAAGTGTGGTTTGCCTTAATCAATTGCACTACTTAAGTGAGGGCGGCGGGGATGGGCTAAAGCAGCATTTTCAGTGTGCCTAAATTAGCGTTTGTAATTTCAAAATCATATGTGAACAAGGATAGCCGGTTGCTGTGAAAGTAGCACAGAATGTTCCGACCAGAGTCTTAAGAAACTACATAATTTTTTTTTTCAAATTAGTGTAGTTTTTTCTTCTGTATTTTCTATTATAGGGAAACAGGACAACATATTTTGAACAAAAATGGCCAGAAAAACAAAAAAAATCATAACTTTTTTTAAAAAAATTTTTGAGTCTCAAAATGGTGTTTTTAAAACTCCAAAAACAAAGCATACTCGAGTAAAACTATAATTCAGTATAAATAATCAATTGTAAACTGCCTAAATTAGACATACATCAGCGTGATTGCTCACTGTACTCGCTCGAACTTCGAAAAAAATCAAAAATTTCATACCGGTTTTTCTCGACACTGGGAAAACATTGATTTCGTTCGAAAACTTAAATGTTGCTCAAATCACAACCAGAAGAGCTTTAATATGATAAATCACTCGTCTCTTTCCGATGATAATTGGCGATAGCTGATTTCGCGCGGAAAAAAAACACAATGAAAACAAGGACAGCCGGTAAGTGTGCAAACAGCACAGAATGTTCCGACCCTAGTCTTAGATATTACAAAAAAAAATGTTTTAAATTAGTTTCGTATTTTTCGCAGGGTGGATAAAACGATCTGAACGAATGACTAAAACTAAGACATTTTCGACAGTCATTAAAATAATTAAATTGGACAACAGTTTTGAAAATAAACGACTGAGAAAAAATCAATGCAACTATCATAAAACAAAAATCCAAATTTTTTGAAACTTTTTTTTCCAAAATTCTTTTGAATCTTAGAAAATTTTCCTAAAAAGTCCCAAATTTTGCTAAAAAAAGACAAAAAAATAAATAAAACTATCCACAACTAAGTTTTCGCGTCTTGAATACGCATCAAAAAGCTATTGGAGGCCTGATCGCTCGCCTTTAATAGCTCAGAATTAGGCCGAAAATCAAAAATATCAGACCGAATTTTCTCGACACAGGTAATTTTTCAGAAAATTTTGAATGTCTTTCAAACCACGACTGACAGATTTTAATATGGTAATTCACTCGATCCATTCTGATGATTATTTGTGGTACTTAATTTTGCGTGGAAAACAAAAAAAAACTGAAACTCCCACCCAAATACAAATTCCTCCTTGCTCATGTCCGTCAACACTTTCTTATCAAGTTTCTTAATTTTGAAGTTTGATTTAGATTACGAGAAAACTGATTTTACCAGACAACATTCTTCTTTCTCCGTCTTTTTGAAAAATAGACGGAGTAAAAAACAACTTTTGTGTGTTAAAATCAATTTTCTCATAACCTAATTTTACATTCACAACCAAGAAACTTGATAGGAAAGAAAGTGTTGACGTACATGAGTAGAACGGTTTACAATTTTTCAACACTACTAAGTTTCGAAGAATGAGAGTTTAACTTGAGGCAAGCTCGAATAATTAAGTTGAAAATAGCATCAAAAAATATGAAACAATTCTAATTAGCTGTAGAAAAATGAATAGAAACAAAAATTAAAAAGTTCCTCCCCATTTTTGAAAAAGGAACAGTGAAGAAAAAATTGCAACACAATCGAATACGAAGTTTTTCTTCAGTTTTCAAATACTCAGAACAACAAACACCCAAAAAAAATTCGTTCTCCATTTTTCACATAATCGGATTAAAAAATAAAGAATAAAAAAAAAAAACTCGAATACAAACTTCATCCGCATTCTTGTAAGTTTTAAAAAGCTAAAACACACCCGCATAGCAAAAGACTTCCCCATTTATTAGGTTATCTGAACAAAAAAATGAAAAGAACTAAAACACGCCGAAATACAAAGTTCCTCCCCCTTTTTCACATAATTGGATCAAAAAAAGATAACTAAAAAAAATACCCGAATACAAAATTCCTCTCAATTTTTCAAGCTGTCTCTGAACAAGTAAAAAGAATAAAACGCACCCGAATACAAAATTCATCCCCTTTTTTAAAATAATTGGTAGAAAAAAAATAACACCCAAATACAAAATCGGTCTCCATTTTTCAAATATTCAAAACAAAAAAGCAAAAGAACACAAAAACAAACCCGAATACAAAGTTCCTCCCCATTTTTCACATAGTCGGAACAAAAAGCTAAGAAAAAATTAAAATACTTGAATACAAAGTTCATTCGTAATCTTGTGTGTATTAAAAAACCAAAACACACCCGCATAGCAAATGGCTTCTCCGTTTGTTAAATTATCAGAACAAAAAAAGCGAAAAAGAACTAAAACACGGCGAAACACAAAGTTGCCCCCCATTTCTTACATAATTGGATACAAAACATTGAAATACCCGAATTCAAAGTTCTTCTCAATTTTTTATTCTGTCAGAACAAGCAAAAAAACTAAAACACACCCAAATACAAAGTTCATACCCACTTTTAAAAAAGCTGGATGAAAATTTTTTTTAACAAACCCGAATACAAAAATTCTTCCCAAATTTCAAATGGTCGGAACAAAAACAAAACTACTCCCGAAAACAAGGTTTCTCCCCATTTTTCAATTAAAGCAAACAAATAGGAGAAAAAAATTGAAACACGCCCGAATACAAAAATCTTCCCCATTTTTCAAACAGTCGGAACAAAAAAAAACTAAATTTAATCGAGTACAAAGATCCTCCCTATTTTAAACTTAGTCGCCACAAAAGAAAAAGATAAAAACTATAACACATCCGAGTACAAAGTTTCTATCCATTTTCAAATGATCGGATCAAAGAAAAGATATCACTAAATCACACCCGAATACCAAATTCCTCCCTATTTTTTCAAATCGTCGGAACAATAAAAAACACTAAAACAACCGAAAACAAAGTTCCTCCCCACTTTTGAAGTAGTCGAAACAAATGAAAAAAAGTAAAACACCCAATACAAATTTCCTCCCCAATTTTCATTAGCCGTAGCAAAAAAAAATCAAAAAAGCAAATCCACTCGAATACAAAATTCCTTTCCCACTTCTTTTTAAACATTGTGTGTTTTAGAAAAAAAAACTAAAACACACTCGAATACAGTAATCCTCCCTCTTTTTCAAATGGTTGGAACAAAAAGATAATAAAAAAAAAAAAAAAAAACACACCCGAATACAAAATTTTTCCTAATTTTTTAAATTGTTAGAACAAAAAGCTAAAACACACCCAAAAACAAAATTTTCCTCATTTTTCAAATGGTTGGAAACAATCAAAACCCATCAATATACAAAATTTATCTTCGTTTTTTGAAATATTCGGAACAAAAAAAAGAAGAAATTTAGAAAAACACCCGAACACAAAGTGTCCCTCCCCACTTTTCAAATAATCGGAACAAAAAGAAAAAAATAAACACATCCGAACACAAAACGTTTCCTAATTTTTCCAATGGTTGGAACAAAAACACTAAAATCTATCCGAATACAAAGTTCCTCCCGCTTTTTCAAATGGTTGAAGCAAAAAAAACACAAAAATACACCCGATTACAAAATTCCTCCCCGTCTTTCAAATGGTTGGAACAAAAAAAAAGAAACAAAGCTAAAATACACTCAAATACAAAGCTCCTCCCAGTTTTCAAATGATCAGAACAAAAAAAATTTGAACAACACCCAAATATAAAAACGTTTCTCATATTTTAAAATTGTAAATTGTTGGAACAAAAAGCTAAAACCCATCCGATGTTCTTCCCCGTTTTTCAAACGGTCTGAACAAAAAAAAATTTAAAAAAAATCGAATACAAAGTCCCTCCCCACTTTTCAAATAATCGGAACAAAAAATAAAAAACTAAAATACAGCTGAATACAAAGTTCCTTCCACTATCAAAACAGTCGGAACAACAAAGGAAAAAAACTAAAACACACGCGAACACAAAATCCCGCTTCACTTTTCAAATAATTGAAACAAATAAGAAAAAACAAAAAAACAACCGAACACAAAATCATCTCTATTTTTAAAATAGTCGCAACAAAAAAAAACGAAAACTAAAGTATAACCAAATGCAATGTTCCTCCTCATTTTTTCAAGTCATTGTGTCTCTTATGAAATAACAGAATCGAGTACAAATTTTTTTCCCGTTTTTCAAATAATTGGAACAAAAAATGAGAAAAAACTGAAATAAACCTGAAAACAAAACTTTTCCCGATTTTTCCAATGGTTGTAACAAAAAAACTAAAGAACACCCACTTACAAATTTCTTCCCTGTTTTTCAAAGGGTCCAGAAAAAATTCAAAAACACCCGAATACAAAGTCCCTCCCACTTTTCAAATAATCATAACAAAAAAATTAAAAAATAAAACACAGCTGAATACAAAAATCCTAAAAATTTTTTGAAATGATCGCAAAAAAAGGGAACAAAAACAAAACAAAACCGAATGCATAGTTTCTCCTCATTTTTACTAATCATTTTTGTCTTAGAAAAAAATACACCCGAAAACAAATTTGTTTCCCATTTTTCAAATAATCGGAACCAAAAAAGAGAAAAAAACTCCCGAATACAAAGTTCCTTCCACTATCAAAACATGAAAAAAAAAACACACGCGAACACAAAATTTCTCCTCAGTTTTCAAATAATTGAAACAAAAAAGAAAAACCTGAAAAACAATCGAATACAGACTTCCTCCCCGTTTTAAATTAGTCGGAACAAATTAAAAGAGAAAAAACTGAAACACACACAAACACAAAGCTTCTCCCATCTATCAAAACATTCGGAACAACAGTAGAAAAAAATAACAAAACACACGCGAACACAAAATTTCTCCTCACTTTTCAATTAACTGAAACAAAAAAGAAAAAACTAAAAAACAACCGAATACAAACTTTCTCCCCGTTTTAAATTAGTCGGAACAAACTAAAAGAGAAAAAAACTGAAACACACACAAACACAAAGCTCCTCCCATCTATCAAAACAGTCGGAACAACAATAGAAAAAAAAAACAACCGAACACAAAGTTTTACCTCATTTTTCCAATGGTTGAAACAAAAAATAAAACACACCCGAATACAAAATTCTTTCCCGTTTTTCAAAAAAAGGAGCAGAAAAGAAAAACTAAAGCACTCCTGGGCACAAAATTCCTCCCCATTTTTAAAAAAGACGGAACAAAAAATTCCTTACCAGTTTTGAAACTCTTGTGTGTTCTAGAAAAACTATGAGACAACCAAATTTTCAATTCCTCGCCCTTATTCAAAAAGTCGCAACAAAAAAAACATAATGACATATCTGAGTACAAAGTCCCCTCCCACTTTTCAAATAATCGGAACAAATATGAAAAAAAAAGAAACATATCCGAATAAAAATTTCCTGTCATTTTTAGAAAAAATCGGAACAACAAAGAAAAAAACTAAAAAACACCCAAATATAAAGCTCTTCCCATTTTTTCAAACCCTTCTGCGTTTCAGAAAAAACTAAAACACATTCAAACACAGAATTTCTCCCCATTTTCAAATGGTCGGAACAAAAAAGGAAAAAAAAACATGCCCGAATACAAAGTTCCTCCTCATTTCTAAAAAAAAATGAAACAAAAAAGAGAGAAAAAAAACTCAAAAATACTCGTGTACAAAGTTAACTCCCTTTCTTCAACAGTTGAAATAGAATAGAAAAAAAACTAAAACACACCGAAATCCAAAATTAGTCCTCTTTTGAAAAACAGTCGGAACAAAGAAGAAAAAAAACTAAAAAGACAACCGAATACAAAGTTCCTCCTCATTCTTAAAAAAGACGGGACAAAAATAAAAAAAAAATCACAAGAAATCCAAAACAAAGCTCATCTGCATTTTTCAACTAGTTGAAAAAAATAGAAAAATAAAACCCACCCAAATACAAAGTTCATCCGCGTTTGTTTTTCAAACAATTGGAAAAAAAAGAAAAAAACTAAAACACACCCAAATACAAAGTTCATCCGCAATTTTCAAATAGTTAGAAAAAAAGAAAAAGTAAAGCACACCCGAATACAAAGTTTGTCCACATTTTCAAATGGTCGGAACAATAAAATAGTTGAAAATAAAAAAAAACTGAAGCTCACTCGAAAACAAAAAAGTTCCTCCCCATTTTTAAAATAGTCGGAACAGAAAAAAAAACTAAAACACACCCGAATACAAAGTTCATCCGCGTTTTTCAAATAGTTGAAAAAAAAGTAAAAATTTAAAACACACCCAAATACAAAATTCGCCCCCATTTTCAAATGGTCGGAACAAAAAAATAGTGGAAAATAGTATGCTCAAAAACTTAGTTCTTTTGGTGGATTAAAATTTGGAACATTGGCTCTGTCTCAGAAAATGAGAAAGGTTTTTCAATACAATTGTTTTTTTCTGATATCGGGGGTAGTTGTGCCGTGTGGCTTGAGTAAAACTAAAACAGCAAATAAAAATCCCCAATATATAAAAAGTAAAAAACGAATAAAAAGTCTCAAAATATTTTAGGGCTGGTCTGGTGTTTGTCTTCAAATAACAAAACTCAAAACTTGGCCGAGTTTTGTCCGTGACACGAAAGGCAATTGATTGCCTTTTTATTTAAAAAAAGTTCATTTGAAAAAAGGTGAAACAAAGTAAGGATCTAATTTAGGATGGTGAGGGGGAAAGAAGGATCTAATTTACTCTCCTTCAACCTCTGCTTCTACCACCTGCCTGCAACACAATCTCTCCTATCCTACATTCCAGCACGTTTAGATAAAGAAAGCTTCTTTATCTTGCTCCTCCCAAAAAAGAAGAGATGGTAGAATGGATCTAAAGAGGAACAAGTGATGAAAGGAAGGCAGTGTTCTCACCATGAGTTGTTTGTTCAGTTCTGATGAACTCCACCTCACCAGTGGCAGCTGCATCTTCTGTCTTCCCAACAAGGAAAAGGAGGAGGAGGAGTCTGCTTCTGCATTTGAAGGGTCAGGGTGGCCGAATTGTACACTGGATGAGTGAATAGCACGTACACTTGGACTGAATTGAACCTGAGAAAGCAGAGGAGAAGAACACGTTAGAGGAATGGAAAAAAACAAGGTGATTTTTTGATGCTCCCTGGATCTGATAAGAGAGTGACTGTTTGATAAATTGAAAGACTAGACCACTATGTACTCATACAGAGGCGTAAATTTCCCATGGCTGCTATGACATATGTTACGTAATGAGTGAGATGAGTGCCATATTAGTTCCCTTCATGTATACCTGGTGGTGGCCCAGTGGCGGCCACTGCCCATCATGGTCTGTGTGGTCCAGCTGGCGCCTGAGCAGTCCACACGTGTACTCCACAGCTGCAAGCTGGTATGACGTCACCACGAACTCATTCACACTTGCCTGGGGAGTGTCACGTGGGTTGTCCCACTTCACTATCTGTCTCTCCAGCACCTACCAGATCAGGTATTCATTCAAGTGCATTGCAAATTGAACCAACCAGCCAACCATTTAGCCCAACAGGGGCCTACTTAGGGGAGATGAGAGGGAGGAGCCATCATTCCTTCAGGGACTCAATCCCCTCACCAACCAGCCAACCAACTAACCCATCAGGGACCCATTTAGGGGAGATGCGAGGGAAGAGCCCTCCTTTCTTCAGGGACTCAATCCCCTCACCAACCAGCCAACCAACTAACCCATCAGGGACCCATTTAGGGGAGATGCGAGGGAAGAGCCCTCCTTCTTTCAGGGATTCAATCCCCTCAGCATCCAACCAACCAACTAACCCATCAGGGACCCATTTAGGGGAGATGCGAGGGAAGAGCCCTCCTTTCTTCAGGGACTCAATCCCCTCACCAACCAGCCAACCAACTAACCCATCAGGGACCCATTTAGGGGAGATGCAAGGGAAGAGCCCTCCTTTCCTCAGGGATTCAATCCCCTCAGCAACCAGCCAACTAACTAACCTATCAGGGACCCATTTAGAGGAGATGAGAGGGAAGAGCCCTCCTTCCTTCAGTAATTCAATCCCCTCACCAACCAGCCAACCGACTAACACATCAGGGACCCAATTAGGGGAAATAAGAGGTAAGAGCCCTCATTAGTTCAGGAACTCAATCCCCTCACCAACCAGCCAACCAACTGACCCATCAGGGACCCATTAAGTGGAGATGAGAGGGAAGAACCCTCCTTTCTTCAGGGATTCAGTCCCCTCACCGACCAGCCAACCAACTAACCCATCAGGGACTCATTAAGGGGAGATGAAAGGGAAGAGCCCTCCTTCCTGTAGGGATTCAATCCCCTCACCAACCAGCCAAACAACTACCTCATCAGGGACCCATTAAGGGGAGATGAAAGGGAAGAGCCATCCTTACGTCAGGGATTCAATCCCCTCAACAACCGGCCAACTAACTAACCTATCAGGGACCCATTTAGAGGAGATGAGAGGGAAGAGCCCTCCTTTCTTCAAGGATTCAATCCCCTCAGCAACCAGCCAACCAACTAACCCATGAGGGACCTATTTAGGGGAGATGAGAGGGAAGAGCCCTCCTTTCTTCAAGGATTCAATCCCCTCAGCAACCAGCCAACCAACTAACCCATGAGGGACCTATTTAGGGGAGATGAGAGGGAGGAGCCCCCATTCCTTCAGCGACTCAATCCCCTCACCGACCAGCCAACCAACTAACCCATCAGGGACCCATTAAGGGGAGATGAAAGGGAAGAGCCATCCTTACGTCAGGGATTCAATCCCCTCAACAACCGGCCAACTAACTAACCTATCAGGGACCCATTTAGAGGAGATGAGAGGGAAGAGCCCTCCTTCCTTCAGTAATTCAATCCCCTCACCAACCAGCCAACCGACTAACCCATCAGGGACCCAATTAGGGGAAATAAGAGGTAAGAGCCCTCATTAGTTCAGGAACTCAATCCCCTCACCAACCAGCCAACCAACTGACCCATCAGGGACCCATTAAGTGGAGATGAGAGGGAAGAACCCTCCTTTCTTCAGGGATTCAGTCCCCTCACCGACCAGCCAACCAACTAACCCATCAGGGACTCATTAAGGGGAGATGAAAGGGAAGAGCCCTCCTTCCTGTAGGGATTCAATCCCCTCACCAACCAGCCAAACAACTAACCGATGAGGGACCCATTTAGGGGAGATGAGAGGGAAGAGCGCTCCTTCCTTCAGGGATTCAATCCCCTCAACAGCCTGCCACCAATTAACCAATCAGACACCAATTAGGGTGAGAGGAGAGGGAAGAGCCCTCCTTCCTTCAGACAGTCAATCCACTCACCAACCAGCCAACCATTTAACCTATTAGGGACCCATTTAGAGGACACGAGACCGAAGAGATTTCCTTCCTTCAGGGATTCAATCCCCTCACCAACCAGCCGAGAAACTAATGAATCAGGGACCCAATTAGGGAATATAAGAGGGAAGAGCCCTCCTTCCTTCAGGAACTCAATCCCCTCACCAACCAGCCAACCAACTAACCCATCAGGGACCCACTTAGGGGAGATGAGAGGGAAGAGCCCTCCTTCCTGCAGGGATTCAATCCCCTCACCAACCAGCCGAACAACTAACCGATTAGGGACCCATTTAGAGGAGATGAGAGGGAAGAGCCCTCCTTCCTTCAGTAATTCAATCCCCTCACCAACCAGCCAACCGACTAACCCATCAGGGACCCAATTAGGGGAAATAAGAGGTAAGAGCCCTCATTAGTTCAGGAACTCAATCCCCTCACCAACCAGCCAACCAACTAACCCATCAGGGACCCACTTAGGGGAGATGAGAGGGAAGAGCCCTCCTTCCTGCAGGGATTCAATCCCCTCACCAACCGGCCAACTAACTAACCTATCAGGGACCCATTTAGAGGAGATGAGAGGGAAGAGCCCTCCTTCCTTCAGTAATTCAATCCCCTCACCAACCAGCCAACCGACTAACCCATCAGGGACCCATTAGGGGAAATAAGAGGTAAGAGCCCTCATTAGTTCAGGAACTCAATCCCCTCACCAACCAGCCAACCAACTGACCCATCAGGGACCCATTAAGTGGAGATGAGAGGGAAGAACCCTCCTTTCTTCAGGGATTCAGTCCCCTCACCGACCAGCCAACCAACTAACCCATCAGGGACTCATTAAGGGGAGATGAAAGGGAAGAGCCCTCCTTCCTGTAGGGATTCAATCCCCTCACCAACCAGCCAAACAACTACCTCATCAGGGATCTATTTAGGGGAGATGAGAGGGAAGAGCCCTCCTTTCTTCATGGATTCAATCCCCTCAGCAACCAGCCAACCAACTAACCCATCAGGGACCTATTTAGGGGAGATGAGAGGGAGGAGCCCCCATTCCTTCAGCGACTCAATCCCCTCACCGACCAGCCAACCAACTAACCCATCAGGGACCCATTAAGGGTAGATGAAAGGGAAGAGCCATCCTTACGTCAGGGATTCAATCCCCTCAACAACCAGCCAACCATTTAACCTATTAGGGACCCATTTAGAGGACACGAGACCGAAGAGATTTCCTTCCTTCAGGGATTCAATCCCCTCACCAACCAGCCGAGAAACTAATGAATCAGGGACCCAATTAGGGAATATAAGAGGGAAGAGCCCTCCTTCCTTCAGGAACTCAATCCCCTCACCAACCAGCCAACCAACTAACCCATCAGGGACCGACTTAGGGGAGATGAGAGGGAAGAGCCCTCCTTCCTGCAGGGATTCAATCCCCTCACCAACCAGCCGAACAACTAACCGATTAGGGACCCATTTAGGGGAGATGAGAGGGAAGAGCGCTCCTTCCTTCAGGGATTCAATCCCCTCAACAGCCTGCCACCAATTAACCAATCAGACACCAATTAGGGTGAGAGGAGAGGGAAGAGCCCTCCTTCCTTCAGAGAGTCAATCCACTCACCAACCAGCCAACCATTTAGCCTATTAGGGACCCATTTAGAGGACATGAGACCGAAGAGCTTTCCTTCCTTCAGGGATTCAATCCCCTCACCAACCAGCCGAGAAACTAATGAATCAGGGACCCAATTAGGGAATATAAGAGGGAAGAGCCCTCCTTCCTTCAGGAACTCAATCCCCTCACCAACCAGCCAACCAACTAACCCATCAGGGACCCACTTAGGGGAGATGAGAGGGAAGAGCCCTCCTTCCTGCAGGGATTCAATCCCCTCACCAACCAGCCAAACAACTAACCGATTAGGGACCCATTTAGGGGAGATGAGAGGGAAGAGCGCTCCTTCCTTCAGGGATTCAATCCCCTCAACAGCCTGCCACCAATTAACCAATCAGACACCAATTAGGGTGAGAGGAGAGGAAAGAGCCCTCCTTCCTTCAGAGAGTCAATCCACTCACCAACCAGCCAACCATTTAACCTATTAGGGACCCACTTAGGGGAGATGAGAGGGAAGAGCCCCCCTTCTTTCAGGGATTCAATCCCGTCACCAACCAGCCAACCAACTACCCATCACGGACCCATTTAGAGCAGATGAGAATGAAGAACCCTCTTTTCTTCAGGGATTCAATCCCCTCACCAACCAGCCAACAAACTAACCCATTAGGGAACCATTAAGGGGAGATGGAAGGGAAGAGCCCTCCTTCTTTCAGGGATTCAATCTCCTCAGCAACCAGCCAAACAACTATCCAATCAGGGACCCAATTACGGAATATAAGAGGGAAGAGCCCTTTTTCCTTCAAGAACTCAATCCCCTTCCCAACCAACCAACAAACTATTCCATCAGGGACCCACTTAGGGGAGATGAAGGGGAAGAGCCCTCCTTCCTTCAGGGATTCAATCCCCTCACCAACCAGCCAACCAACTAACCCATCAGGGACCCACTTAGGGGAGATGAGAAGGAAGAGACCTCCTTCCTGCAGGGATTCAATCCCCTCACCAACCAGCCAAACAACTAACCGATTAGGGACCCATTTAGGGGAGATGAGAGGGAAGAGCGCTCCTTCCTTCAGGGATTCAATCCCCTCAACAGCCTGCCACCAATTAACCAATCAGACACCAATTAGGGTGAGAGGAGAGGGAAGAGCCCTCCTTCCTTCAGAGAGTCAATCCACTCACCAACCAGCCAACCAATTAACCTATTAGGGACCCATTTAGAGGACATGAGACCGAAGAGCTTTCCTTTCTTCAGGGATTCAATCCCCTCACCAACCAGCCGAGAAACTAATGAATTAGGGACCCAATTAGGGGATATAAGAGGGAAGAGCCCTCCTTCCTTCAGGAACTCAATCCCCTCACCAACCAGCCAACCAACTAACCCATCAGGGACCCACTTAGGGGAGATGAGGGGGAAGAGCCCTCCTTCCTGCAGGGATTCAATCCCCTCACCAACCAGCCAAACAACTAACCGATTAGGGACCCATTTAGGGGAGATGAGAGGGAAGAACGCTCCCTCCTTCAGGGATTCAATCCCCTCAACAGCCTGCCACCAA